ATACATGAGCATTGTTGTGCAACAGATTTCTAGAACTTTATCATCTTGCAAAACAGAGGCTCCAAACCCACTGAACAACAACTCCTCTTTTCCCCTTCCGACAGTGTTTCTTTTTTCAGAAATTCTCATGTGTGCATCAGTATGCGGAGAGGTGCAAACAGTGCTGCTGTAATCAAAGGCAATGGGGTGGGGGGTGGCATCCTGTGAACTGGACCCTCCTCTGGGGAGCTGCTCAGTCTGTGTCTTCTGTGAATTCGTCGACTTCTCAGAATGATGGTTTGACATCACTATTACAGATGTCGCTCTTCCCCCCCATGAAGGGTTGAATGGTGCCCTCCCCCATTTATATGTTGAAGTCCTAACGCCCAGAACTTCAGAATGTGACTTATGTGGAGATAGGGTCTTCACAGAGATAATTGGGTTAATGTAATGTCATCACGGTGGGCTCGAATCCAACACAACTTGTGTTCTTATAAAAAGGCACAATTTGTAAAGATGAAGGCAGAGATTGGGGTGATGCACCTACAAGCCAGGGAACACCAGAGGTTGCTGGTCAACCACCAGGAGCTAGCGGAGAGACCCGGAGCAGATTTGCTCACAGCTTTCAAAAGAATGAACCCTGCTAACACCTTCATCTTGGACTTACAGTCTCCAGAATGAATCCACGTCTGTCGTTTCAGTCACCTGTTTGGTACTGCAGCCCTAACACACTAACGCCTCGCGTTTGCTGTCCATGGCACTGTGGTTGTTACTCCTGAAGAAGCACCGCCAACACAGGGTTAAGGGTTAGCCTGAGCAGCTAAAAATCCCCATGATGCAGGCAGGCCAGATCTGAGCACTCAGAGGGTATCCCGCCCCACCAGCCAAGAGAGTCCTTGGCTTCTCACAGGATGGAAATCAAACGCCAGCCGGCAGGAAGTGAGAGCAGAGTTTATTGAAGATATAGAGAGAGCAGATACAGACGGAGTGTCTGGGAGACTCAGAAAGGAAAAGGAGAATGAGTCTTGTCTTGTTTGGGATCTGGAATTTTTACTGAGGACAGTAGTCTGGTGTACGTGTCCTCTCAGGCACCCAGGAGCTGGTCGAACAAGGACAAGTACTCAGGTGTCCTTCATAAGTCACTTACGCCCTGGAGCCAAGGGTCTTGGCGTGAAGGTATTTGGAGTCAGTGGTCTTGAAAAACGTTCATGGCCACCTCACCGGGACACTCCTAAGATGTCATCTATTGTGATGGAAGACTCCAAAGAAATCATTAACTTCTTGACCTTTACAAGGTGGACATACGTTAAGTCGTGTGTGAGGTGGAGATGCAGGTCCTGGCAAGAACAGAAGCAGGAAAAGAAGCAAAGGGGGAAAAAAACAAGTTTTTTCTTTCATGAGGCCCCTTTGGTTTCCCCGTCTCACCCAGAGATACCACAATGTTGAAATACAATGCAATTAAATATTCTATTATAGAAAGTAATTAGCTCAGTGAAAAATGTATTTTCAAATTGCCCCCCAAGGGGAGCAGAACATGCCACCCCAAAATACACCTCTTTGGGGCGTGAGGATTATCTTGGGCTGGTTATTTTGAAGAAACAGACAGGAGAAGCTCTGAAAACAGAGAAGTCACCCTCCCTTTTGTAAGGAACATTTACATTCTAAAGGAAATCTCCATTTGCAAGGGTGTTTCCCTTTCTGTACCAGGAAGAGCTTGACTACATTTCCGTAAAGCCTCATCAATGCAGAAGGCAAGGACTTCAGTAGGCAACCATACCCTGTTCGCTGCGCTTTGCCCGGTAACTTCCCATAAACTAGAAGATTATTTTTCCTCCCCTACACCCAGAAGCTTTCGGAATATTTATTTTTACGTGGAATTGTTTATTTTTTTTTTACTTTTAAATTTTTATTTAAATTCCAGTTAGTTAACATACAGTGTCATATTAGTTTCATGAGTACAATATAGTGATTTAACACTTCCATACATCACCCGGTGCTCATCACTGCCTAGACATCAAGACATTCCACCTTAAGTATATGAGTTGCATCTTAAAAAATAAAAGCATTTTCCTACATAGCTATAATAACACTTCATTTTAAAACAGTCTTTGGTATTATCTAATAACCAGTCTACATTTAAATTTCCCTATATGTCCCCCAAATCATATATCACTCCAAAATAAGATCCAGTTTGAGCCCACATACTGCATCTGATTGCTGGTTCTTTAAATCTCTTAATCTGGCCAGTCACATTTTAATGGAACTGTCTTTCTGAAGACAATAGCTCACAGTGAAGAAAATACCTCGAATTCTGAATTTATCTAATTGTTTCCTTGCTGTATCATTTACCTGTTCCCTATACATTGGAGTTAGATATAAAGACTCAATTAGATTCAAATCTTTTTAACAAATACAGGTCCTAGATGGTGTGTTTTACTTTATACTGGATCTCATCAGGGGACTCATGACATCTGATTGTCCACCCTTGGGATGCTGAGTGAGACCAATTGGCATGGTGGCAACATCTTGATCCCTCCATGGCAACCAGAAACTAATCTCTGTGTGGTTATTGTGGCCCCCACACAGGTGTCCAGTTCCCCATGATTCTTCTAGTGGGGTCAACACCAGTTCCTTGCTTGAGTTAACGATTGGATTAAGTGTTGCAAAATGATGACTTCCTACTTTATCATTTCCTATTTGTTCTGCTTGTCTTTTCCTGTAAAGCTGTCTTTTATTACTGAGGGGTGGGGGGTATCTCAGCCAAGAATCGAAAAAGATAGAGGGAAAATTGTTTTTTCTCACCTGCAAGAGTTAATTTAATAATTGTCTGAAGTGGTGGAGAGATTTTTTTTTTTTACTCTCCCTTTTATTAGGATCAATATGGACTCATGGATTATTATATATTTGATGTATTTTAGTCAATTACAATCATGGGGGTAGTTTTTCAAATTTTCACAGTATAGCCAGTGGAAGATACTTGAGGCTGGCTCCTGGATCTTTTTGACATGACTCCGTTCATCTGTGAAAAGTTTTCTTGCTTGTTTTTGGGCACTAAATCTGCGTTCGTGGTATGAGAGACCAAAATCACTGCTCTGTGGGGGCTAAATGCTAATGCAGTGAGGTTACATCTTGGATATTTCAGTAGATAAAGTTAGAAAATATATATACATATTTAAAACATGAGTTCACATTAATATGCCCAATTCAATCTTAGCACTACAGCGTTTTTTACCTAATTTCTTCATCTCTTTCCCCTTATGTTTTATCCTATAATATAAAGACAATGCTTTTAAAAACAATACCAGTGTTACTACTAAAAGAAGTTTTAAAAAACTTTTGTAGATTTTTTCTTTTTTTTCTTAGAATGCCTCCCAGTAAGAATGTGTAGTCTAGGTACATTGTTTTAAAGTTACTTAAAATACATCTTTCCTCTGTGGAACGTCCCTAGTCATCTAATATACAATTAGTTCATTTGTTTTGTTTGGCTTTCCATTTTAGCCATTGAGATTTAGTAGGTAATGACTCAGAAATCGGATCCAGATGAGAAGTCTCCATCTTGTTCCTCATTTCTCCCCACCTTAGGTGATCATTTTTAACAGTTTCTTGATTATCCTCCCAATGTTTATTTTTGCAAGTGCATATTTTTTTCTTATTGCCCTCCTTTCCTACACAAGGGTAGCATATTCTTTATTTTTCTTCTTCCTTGCTTTTATTCATAACTCTATATCCTGGGGATCTCCCCACAGTGGTGTATCTCTACCTTTTCCTAGCTGTGTAGAGTATTGAGTCCCCTAATCCAGCATCTTTTGAACAGTCGCACTGTATTTTAGTGAGTATGTAGCCTCATAAGGGTAGATAGAGCCAGAAAAATTGATTCTCACGCCCCCCTCCCCTTGCAAAATTGCATTTGCCTATTTTCTGGGTACATCTAATCAAGCAGAACTGGCAGTAAGCACTTTGGGAAGAAGTTCTGCATAATATCCCTTGGACAGCATTGGTGGCAGCAAGAGTATGAGACTTCTGAGTGCTTCCAAGTTCAGTTCGTGATGCAGATGTGGCATGGGTGACTATGTTATTTGCAGATTTGATAAAGTCCGCTTGGTGGCACCAGGGCAAACAGGAGCATCTGGTGCTCTGTGGTGGCAGTCACATCCCTTTGTCAGGCCCCCTCTGCAGCGATGTTTGGAGCCTTGTCCCCTGAGCCTGTTTTCCCAGCCCACCCAACATTTCTCTGAGCTGCCTGGGATTCTTTAATAAATTCCTTTTTCTGCTTAATTGGCCAGAGTTTGTTTTTTATGCTTACAACTAGGAACTCTGACCTAAATACTCTTTATGAAAAAGTAATGATCAAACAATACGAAATATAAAGAGTGAGGAAAAAGAATGTACCATCTGTCCTTACTTCATCTGTAATAAATTATCTTTGACCCACTCTCTTTCAGCCTGTCCTTGACATTTCTTTTATCCTCATTAGTTTGCTTAAAAAAGGAAAGGAAAGGGAAGGAAAGGAAAAAGAAAAGAAAGGGAAAGGAAAGGAAAAACAAAAAAAAGGGAAAGGAAAGGAAAGGAAAGGAAAAGCAACCAAATTTTGAATTCCATCTTTTGTTCCTTGTGCACTAAGATCATAACTGGAGATATTAAACTGAAGTAGTCTTCAACCCAATGCCAGAATTTCCCAGTATCCATATACTTCTCTCCTTGTTCTGGCAGCAAAGATGGCTTTGGGTAAGACTGCTCTCAAGATAGGAATGGTACAAAGAGTCAAACTGTTGACTTTTGGGTTCCTACAGAGATTCTTCAAATCACCCCAACAAGATGTTAATCTTCAAACCATGATTTCCAATTTCAAGAGCCAGATGTTTGAGGGTACCAAGAAATGTGATGAGTTGCTTGTTAGAAGTCCAAAAATCTTCTCTTTGACTATCAAGAGCAAACTGGGAGAACTCATACACCAATGTTAATGTCAAAACAGAACATGAGGATGTCATAAGCAGAGCCTTGGGTTTTATTCCACTCTAAAGGAGATGCGGCTGAGGGGGCCATGGACCTGGAGAAGCCTCAGGGTGATACAGGAGGACAGGATGAGCTTTGTGGCTCTGGCTGCCCAAGAACAGAAGCAGCTGACAAGAAACGAAAGAACAATGAATATCAGCAGAAGTGACCACATGACAGACCCTTGCCTGCCCCTGATACCATGATCCTTGTCATATATCACTTAGCTCAGTACCCAGAATATGGGAGTGGTGCAATAATGTTGCTCCTGCTGCCATCCCCATTAATATGAATAGACGGGAGCGCTCCTCGGTCACCACTGGAATCAAGCCCCTGGCCATTGTTATAGGCTGCTGAAGAGAGGGGCTGGCTGACACCCAAGAGGACATCCGTGCATAACAGCATCCGGGGCACACTTGGAGTTCTGGGGAAGGTTAGAGTTAGGAAGGAAGTGGAACATTGGATTCTGGGAGGCTGGGAAGGCCACACCTCACTGGTGCCTCTGATGGGTTCTGACATTGAAGGAGCTGCAGTCGGCTTCATAGATTCAGGAAGAAGGATTTGGAAGGGGGTCCTGTGGGGACCTTGGTGCAGAGAGAAGACATCACTGAACCCCCAGAGACAGATCTGGGGGATTAAAGCATAATGTGACTGGGACAAGGCTGGTAACCATGAACTTAGTTTTCTCCTCTTTCCCTTGTGCTCTTTTCTAGCCGACGTGGTCTCAGATGCTCTCCATGATTCTCCTCTGCTTTATGCCTAACCATCCCCCTTGAGGCTGGAAGCAACCAGCTCCATGAGCCTCACTACCTTTGTTTTTCATCTCTTGATTCCTACCTACGAGTCTGGGAGGCTCAGGGGTAACATACAAGTTTAAAAATAAAAATGTTTGGGAATTAATACTCTTTCCCCCCCGTATAGATTTGTAAGCTCCTTTGAGACAGGGAACCTACCTTCTACAAGATGCCTTATATTATATTATTATGCAAACAGGGTAGTCAAATGTTAACTGACTGACATCTATTTCCATTCATTTTGATGAGAGTGTTCAACAGCTCACTCCTCAGCGTCACCAGTGACAATATCAAACAGCACTAGATGTTCCAATCATGTTTGTTTTTCTTTCCCAAGAGGGTTACCTTGCACTTCTCAGAGCCGTTCAGCTACTGGCTTACCAAACCACAGCCTTGTCCAATAAAGTCGTCTGGCGAATGACTTCATAGATACTGAAGCTAATAACCTTTAGGACAAACCAGGATTTCTGGCTTCACCTGCTGACTTGAAGCATCTGGAGCCCTTGTTTATGTTTTCTTAACTTTGTTCCACATTTAATTTTATTAAAACATTGTATTGATTAGCAAATTAATGACGTTTAATAAGATACTCGATGTAAACACCTAACCCAGCTTTGACACCAGTTGAGCTCTCCCAATGTGAGCTATTCTTGTTACTTAATCTTCAGAGACATAATTTTATTCATCATTCTCTCATGTAGCCATTTACCACACCATATGAGAAAGCACTAAGTTGTCGAACTTTGCTTGATTTTATTTTTTTCGTTAGTTTTGCTTGATATATTTTTAATGTATGCCCCCTCCTGTTTTCCCAGCATTTTCTACTTTTAAAGTGGTCACAAATATTAGCACAGTAAGAAGTATATAAAAAGACACTACATTCTCTGTGCATTATTCATGGCCTTCGTTACTCAAAATGGACTGGCCTAGTTTCCTATTTCCACAGGGACATCTTGCACAGCCCACATTCAGTGTGACTGTTAGCAGTCATGGCAGGTAATACTCTCTTTAGCCCAAGGTAGACAGTCACACAGCCTAAAACTTAATAAAAAGCTGAAGTCCCTCCTGCGAAACTGCTTTACAAGAAATTTACTGTCTGTTTGGGTTATGATGCCTCATCTGTGATGGATCCCTAAGGACCCTGTGATGGGACTTAAGTCAGTAAAACGTGCAGGGGACATTTTCCTGGATTAAGCTTGCTTCTTCTCCACCCAAAGGTAGGGTGACCCTTTCCTACCAGGGAGCTCTCTCAGACGACTGGCAATGGTAGTCTGGTCCAATGGTTCTCAAATTTTCCTCTCTATCCAAATCACCTGGGAAGTTTGATAAAAGTCAGAATCCAGGGACTCTACTCCGACCCCCGCCTTTACACACAGATTCTAACTCACGAGGTCAGGGGCGTGGTCCCAGGAAGCAGGGCCCCCGGTGACGACGTGGTGGCAGGCAGTGCGCAGACCGCGGTTTGAGAAGCGCTGCTGGAGGCCATTCACCGTCTCTTCATTGACTGAGTTGACCGTTCACTGAGCGTTCAGGGTTAAAACTGGGTCTCATGCACAAAAACTAGGCATTCGGTGGATGAGAAAGAGAATCCTAAACACTGATGGAATAGAGAGTTTTCAAAGCATGTTCACATCCGTGTTTCCTCTCCATGCTATGTGAGAGGAAGTGACTGGATCGGTGTTTCCATTCCACCCACACAATAACGGAAGCAGGGCGCCTGGGTGGTTCAGTCGGTTAAGCGTCTGCCTTCGGCTCAGTCATGATCCCAGAGTCCTGGGATCGAGCCCCGCATAGGGCTCCCTGCTCAGCGGGAAGCCTGCTTCTCCCTCTCCCACTTCCCCTGCGTGTGTTCCTGCTCTCGCTGTGTCTCTCTCTCTGTCAAATAAATAAGTGGAATCTTTAAGAAATAAAAATAAAATAACGGAAGCAATTTCCCCAAGTTTCGATGGCTGCTAGATGATGGGCATGGAGACTATCTAGGACTTCTGACTGCAGGGGTGGGAAGGAAGAAAACTCTACTGATAGGTACACTAATCCCCCCAAAGGCAAGGGTATAAAGCCGTGTTTACACAAAGGTCCATTGCTGTGCTTACCACAGGGAAACGTTGAAAACAATCTAAATGTTCGTAAGTAGGGATTTGTTAAAAAAAAAAAAAACAACCCTAAATATTATGTATTCACACAATGGAATATTCTGCAGTCTTTCAAAAGGAAAAGGTAGATCTTTATTAATAGAAAAAATGTTTGTGTGATGCATTGTAAGGTTTTAAAAGAAATCACAGAACTCTACGTAGAGAATGGTTACTTTTATGGGAAAAAATATGCATGAATTTAAAATTCTGTGAGGCCGTTTCCTTCTACACATCTATACAGGGAGACAGATAGAGCTATCAGAGGTGCACATTACAGTTATATTTTTGGCACCCTGGTGAACAGGTGCCATTGGAATAACACTAGTCAGTAGAGCCTTCACTGGGCCCTTTAAGGAACAGAGTGCACAAGAGATAATTTCTTTAAATTAAGTTGTATGTGAATTTGAGACGTATTTGGCATAGAAAGATCTGCATTAGGGGTGGTGGCCATGGGTTGAGGTCCCTTCTTAGAATCACAACTCTGTTCTTAACTGTAATTATAATACTATTCTATTTCATATGACGTAACAGTGTAACATTAATGGATGTATCCAAAACAGTAATATAATGAAGGTATTAGTTTATAAGAGCCAAACATTATAAAAAAGGAAACTTAAGAGTAAAAAAATTGTTATACACTTTGCAAAGGGGAATGTGTTTAGCAAGATCTTCTCTTGAAGAAGGTACATCTTTGAGTCTTGAAGGGCAAGGACTGGCTGGAAGAAAGGAAAAAAAATAAAAACATATTTGAAAAATAGTCAAAAAAGTCTTTCAACTCACAACTGCGGAGTGCCATAAGATGATACTTTATTGATATTTCTTGTATGCTTTTCCAGAATTGGGTAATGTGTATTATCACTCTCCTACTTTCAGCCAATCATGGTGTGCCTCTCTTAAGCAGGTCCTAGGGGGACAAAGATGACAAGACAAGGTCTATGCCTTGGAGAGTCAACAGTCTTACCCTTTATTTTTCAACCTGCAATAAATTCTGTTCAAGGTAAGCATCGGCAGAACCAATGACGGGCAAAAGGCTCTTTAGGTGAAGAGGCTCATATCTTTAGTGGCTGATGTATTATTTTTAACAAGACGAAATGCTTTTTGTGCTTGTCAATTCTGAAATGTATTTTTTTTACACAAACAATTGCTCTTTTTTTTTCTCTATTCATGAAGACAAAGCCTAAAGAGAGATAACACTTACTTCTCGCTAGAGTGGCTTGTAATATTTGTAGGTCATGGACCCCCATCCATCTCCACCCCCTGAAGAATCTGCTGAAGACAAGCAACAGTCCTTGGAAGGGACATACGCAAATGCCCATGAAATATTGCAGATGGTTTCAGGAGCTCAAGGACACCCAAATTCATCCATGGATACCAGGTAATCCACTCTGTTCTAGAAATCTGTTCTTTCCAAATGCAAATCTAACACTATGTATTCAGCAAATATTTTTAGAGTACCTATACTATGAAAAAGCACTGTTAGACGTAGGGGAGCAATCTGTTTTAACACGCTTTCTGGGTGATTCTGATGCATGCTGAAATTTGATACTCACCAGCCTAAACCGAAATATGCCATATGCAGGCCTAGCCCCCTGGAGGTTTTGATTTATTTGGTCTGGTGTGGGGGGACCGCTCATTGGGGTTCCTAAAAGATTTCCAGGAAATCTTCATATGCAAACATAGTGGAGACTTATTGGCTTAAACACTGGAAATGTTCTTTCTGGTTCCTGATAAACATCTGTAGCCCCCAAAGGCAGAAAATCCATTGTCTACACCTGTGTATCTACGGCTCTCAGCATGCACGCTGGCACTAGGCTGGGAGCTTTAAAGGACCAGGTAGTCCTGCTTCCATCACCAGGTCACTTTGGAGGCTATGTCCCAATGGCCCACCTTCCCCCAACTAACTTACTGTTCAAGAGCAGGAGCTCCAAATCCTGCTTTGTAGTTAATAAATATTAATTTCTCTTTTAGGGTTTTTTTTTAATGAAAAAGATAAAATATAATCTCTGAATTGTCTGTATAGAAACTAAAGGATAGGAAATCCATTTGAGGGGTGGCGGCTCTTAACTTCCAATTGCTGTCCCTAGCGACAAATAGATCAATTTTTGTTACTGATCAGCCTCTCTGCTAACACTTTCTGTTAAGACATCTATTTCACAATGAATGAAGAAATCTTTGCTTTGAAGAGATTGTAGGCTTTCGATTCACACGAGAAGCAAGTTTTGCAAGTCACTGCCCTCTGGAAT